GGTTATGGGGGGCTATGGGGCGGTTTTGGGGGGATATGGGGCGGTTATGGGGTGATATGGGGCGGTTTTGGGTGCTATGGGGTGGTTATGGGTGCTATAGGGTGGTTATGGGGTGGTTATGGGGTGATTATGGGGTGATATGGGGCGGTTATGGGGTCCATGGGGCGGTTTTGGGGTGCTGTGGGGCGGATATGGGGTGATACGGGGCAGTTTGGGGTCGCTATGGGTCAGTTATGGGTCGCTATGGGGCAGTTATGGGTGGCTATGGGGCAGTTCGGGGTTGCTATGGGGCAGTTATGGGTCGCTATGGGGCAGTTCAGGGTCACTATGGGGCAGTTCAGGGTGGCTATGGGCAGATCGGGGTCGCTATGGGGCAGTTATGGGTCGCTATGGGGCAGCTGTGGGGCAGTTATGGGTCACTATGGGGCAGTTATGGGTCACTATGGGGCAGTTATGGGCTGGCTATGGGGCAGTTCAGGGTGGCTATGGGGCAGATCGGGGTCGCTATGGGGCAGTTATGGGTCGCTATGGGGCAGCTGTGGGGCAGATCGGGGTCGCTATGGGGCAGCCCCACGGCCTCTCTGTCCCCCAGATGCACGTGTGGGTGTTCCCCGAGTGGTTATGGGGCAGTTATGGGCTGGCTGTGGGGCAGTTATGGGCTGGCTGTGGGGCAGTTCAGGGTCACTATGGGGCAGTTCAGGGTGGCTATGGGGCAGATCGGGGTCGCTATGGGGCAGTTATGGGTCGCTATGGGGCAGCTGTGGGGCAGTTATGGGTCGCTATGGGGCAGTTCAGGGTGGCTATGGGCAGATCGGGGTCGCTATGGGGCAGTTCGGGGTCGCTATGGGGCAGCCCCACGGCCGCTCTGCCCCCCAGGTGCACGTGTGGGTGTTCCCCGAGGGCAGTTATGGGGGGGCTATGGGGCAGTTCAGGGTCGCTATGGGGCAGCTATGGGTCAGTTATGGGTCGCTATGGGGCAGCCCCACGGCCGCTCTGCCCCCCAGGTGCGCGTGTGGGTGTTCCCCGAGGGGACGCGCAACCACAGCGGCTCCATGCTGCCCTTCAAGCGCGGCGCCTTCCACCTGGCCGTGCAGGCCCAGGTACGTGGGGCGCTGTGGGGCAGTTCTGGGGCGGTTATGGGGCGGTTATGGGGTGATATGGGGTGGTTATGGGGCGCTATGGGGTGATATGGGGCGGTTATGGGGCGCTATGGGGTGATATGGGGCAGATATGGGGTGATATGGGGTGGTTGTGGGGTGCTATGGGGTGGTTATGGGGTGATATGGGGTGGTTATGGGGCGGTTATGGGGCGCTATGGGGTGATATGGGGCAGATATGGGGTGATATGGGGTGGTTGTGGGGTGCTATGGGGTGGTTATGGGGCGGTTATGGGATGATATGGGGTGATATGGGGTGGTTGTGGGGTAGTTCAGGGTGCTGTGGGTCAGTTGTGGGTCAGTTGTGGGTCAGTTATGGGTCAGTTATGGGTCAGTTGTGGGTCAGTTATGGGGCGCTGTGGGGCAGTTGTGGCTCAGTTGTGGGTCAGTTATGGGTCAGTTATGGGTCAGTTGTGGGTCAGTTATGGGTCAGTTATGGGTCAGTTGTGGGTCAATTATGGGGCGCTGTGGGTCAGTTGTGGGTCAGTTGTGGGGCGCTGTGGGTCACTTATGGGTCAGTTGTGGGTCAGTTGTGGGTCAGTTATGGGTCAGTTGTGGGTCAGTTGTGGGGCGCTGTGGGTCACTTATGGGTCAGTTGTGGGTCAGTTGTGGGTCAGTTATGGGTCAGTTGTGGGTCAATTGTGGGGCGCTGTGGGTCAGTTATGGGTCAGTTGTGGGTCAGTTGTGGGGCGCTGTGGGTCACTTATGGGTCAGTTGTGGGTCAGTTATGGGTCAGTT